GTATTATATAAACTCCTGCACTGCTGAAAGGTTGGGGAAGTTACAAGAACACATTTGACCCTAAACCCTTTCCTGGGTCATAAGTATTATCTTACCTGCTGTAGATACGTAGCTCTTTGAATTACCTCAATTTGGAGTTTTATCATTTAATTCTGATATATTCATGAGGTGAATTGATGAGAACAAGACCTAAGTGGATTGTTGATAGTTTACAAGCTTCAATATCAAATTTGGAAACAAACACTGTTTAATGAACTTATACACTGCCTTTAGCATTGCATTAGTCACTCCAGCATTCCAGCTTGGACTATCATCAGTTTATCTCCTCTGAGATAACGTGTCTGGTGATAACACAACCTGATAATGCACTGAGGGATTTGTGCTGCAGGTAAGATATTGATTACCAACAACAAATCCACAGAACACCACTCAAATAGTTTAAACTATCTCCTTAAACCCGTCAAGTTTTGTAGTGCTGCAGATGGTGCAACATCATGATTCCAGCTTCATTTGCAGCACTTTAGAGCTGTTTCACTCCAACCAGTGTTCTGTATTTGACTTCAGCGATCCATCCATCCATCCATGCATGCATCCATCCATCCATCCATCCATCCATTTTCTTTATCTGCTTTTACTCTCCTGGTTCCAGTGAAGCTGTTGCCTATCTCCAGTGGTCATTGTGTGAGAGGTGGAGTACCCTAGGGGCAATTTAGAGTTGCCAATTAACCTAGCATACATACTTTTGGTCTGTGGGAGGAAACCAGAGTATCTGGAGAAAACCCACACAGCCACAGGGAGAGCATGTAAAGTCCACACAGAAAGATCCTAGGCCAGAGAGCGAACCTGCAACCTTTTTGGTGTGAGGAGACAGCTCTACCCTCTGCTTCAAGCCACCCAGCTCTAAAACAAACAAACAAACATTTGAATACTTTCTGAATCCAGAACATGCAAACGCCACCCAGAAAGGCCTCCAGCTGGGATTTGAACCAGGGCGACCTGCTCACAGAGAGGTGGCAGCTCTACCAACTGCACCACCATGCTGTCCACAATGACCCAATTTAGACAATGTCAGATAAAACTTCACATGTCACTACTAGTGGTGTTGTCATATTTTTAAAATGATTAACCTTTTTCCAGTTACTAATGTGCATGCTCAGTGTTTGTAATGCATTGTGGTCTAGATATATCCCTGCCTACTTCTGCTGTGCAGTCATATGTACACCTGGCAACATTGCACATTGAGGACATTTTGCTATTACAACATAGAATATCCATCCATCATCTTTTACCCGCTTCTTCCATTTTGGGTCACAGGGGTCACCGGTGCACATGTCCGGCAATCACTGTACACCCGGTAAGGGTCGCAAGTCCATCACAGGGACACATAGAGAAAAACAACTATTCACTCTCTCACTCACACCTAGGGACAATTTAGTGTTACCAATCAGCCTAACATGCATTTTTTTGGACTGTGGGAGGAAACTGGAGGACCCTGAGAAAACCCACGCATGCACGGAGAGAACATGCAAACTCCACCCAGAAAGGCCCCTGGACCGGTATTTGAATCGGGGACCTGCTCGCCGAGAGGCAGCAGCTCTACCAGTTGCGCCACCATGCTGCCCACCCCAAATTCAGAATATCAGAAAATAATAATATTATTTAAGACCAATTAAAAAAAGGATTTTTAGAAATGTTGGCCAACTGAAAAGTATGAGCATGAAAAGTATGAACATGAAAAGTATGAGCATGTACAGCACTCATATTTAGTTGTTGCTCTTTTTGTCTGGATTACTGCAGCAGTGCGTCGTGACATGGAGTGGATCAGTCTGTGTCACTGCTCAGGTGTTGTGAGAGTCCAGGTTGCTCTGATAGTGGCCTTCAGCTCTTCTGAATTGTTGGATCTGGTGTATCACATCTTCCTCTTCACAATACCCCATAGATTTTCTATGGGGTTAAGGTCAGGTGAGTTTGCTGGCCAATTAACAGGGAGACCATGGTCCTTAAACCAGGTACTGGTAGCTTTGGCACTGTGTGCAGGTGCCAAGTCCTGTTGGACAATTAAATCTGCATCTCCATGAAGTTGGTCAGCAGAAAGCATAAGGTGCTCTACAACTTCCTGGTAGATGGCTGCATTGACCATGGAC